CACCCACACCCACACCCACACCCACACCCACACCCACACCCACACCCTTTATATTAATCAGCATGTCAGATGGCGTTATAGGTATCTTCATCCATTACGTACTTTAAAACAGTCCACTGGAATATGTTAAAAGTATATCATTGTAATATGATGTGTTCTGGATTTGAATGAAAAGAGCCATTTCCAAAACTTCTTTAGCGTTTTCCTCAAAATACGGTTTCTAGACAAGAAAATTGATATGACTCGCTCTCGGCTCGGGGTATCATTGATGTTCAAAGTAGCTATGGGTTTGCTATTATAAGGACAAAGGATATGATTGTTCGGGTCATATGATAGAGAACCTGAGATAACCCTAAGATTGGCCCAAACGACCCCATGTTTTGTTGTAATAATAGTAGAAAAAAATACACTTTGATCTCATTGGTTGATAACTGACCAATCAAATTCGAGATAGTTATTTCTTTGTTATTGTAAGGGCAAAACACAGGGTGTGGATGTGGGTGTGTGTTTTACCTTTTATCACACATGTCCATACCAACACCAACACCCACACCCTATTCGAAATAATTTAGAAATGACTCTGGTTTGCGAACGTCTGTGGCATTTATATGTTTCTCTCTTCCTTTCGAACTTAGTTACGTATAGTGCGTTCTGTAAACAGAAAGAGTTCTCTTTTTTCTACACACTTTCTGCATTTTATTGATGGTGACTGCGCAATTTTACTTGTATGATGTCATTTTGTTACTCCCGTTCGTCCCATCTTAGTTACGTATAATGTTGGAGACAAAAAAAATCTTTTTTTTTGCTCTCTCTCTCTCTCTATGCTGCTTGTGGGTGAAAGTGAAGTTTTACTTTTGCTTCCACTGCAATACTGTAGTTTCGCTTTTTCGTTCAATGTTGGCTGCGTAGAGTATGATGTTCACAGAAAAAGTTCCTGTTTTTTACAGTCTCTTTCTCGCAATTTGAACGACGACAAAGTTGGAAAATTCCAAAAAATAATTTCTCAGTAGTCTACAATTATTCTTAAATACAGTTAACTTCCACATTTCAAAAATTTTCTAGACTGCTATAGTTCAATTGACGTCGAAAATAGGTAGTAGCTACAGGCACGAAAAATGTTTAGTCATAACGAGTATAAGAGGTGACACTCAGCTTTCGAATCGAAATCTCGCGACTCATTTTCAAGGACCTCGCCCTTCCAACTTAAAGCCAAAAAATTAGTCGAAAGTAGGTTTTCCAAAAATCGATTTGCAATTAGAAGTTTGAATATACTCCATTCCCTGATCTTCAACCAGTCCCTCTGCTCGTGTCAGTAATAATCAAACAACAACAAGTTTAAAGGGTATACCAATACATTCATTTGCATCACATTGAGTTGCAGCTGAGAGCGGCCAATCATTGCAGAAATCTTTACACATTTGTTCTATACCGATAATTTTTAGAAACTTGCTTTGTTTCACTACTGTTCGTCGTTCGGCAACAGGAAAAATGCTCCCCGAACACATGCTCCCGCACACTTTCTCCTGGGACACGTGTTCCCTAATCACACTTGCTCCCTGAACGCTTCCCTTCCGAACACTTGCTTCCAGCGAAAATTACTTCGCGGGAGAGTTGTTACAGAAGTGAATGCTTTATATAAAAGTCTGAACTAGATTTTGGGTGTGTAGGCCGTGCATTTGATGAAGATCCTCACATTCACGTCCACGCTGATACCTACAACCACACTCACACTCAGCCACATCCAACAGAAATCCTGATATCCCTAGAAAGGACATTATTCTGGTACAATGAAGTTATATCACCGCTGTATGATATGCGCAAGGATGATATTATGTAGGAAAGATATTCGATTAGGTAGTATCATGCAACATCGATGCCTCTCGATACGAAGATATCATCCACCAATACTCCATTTGAAAGAGCGTCACGAATACTCAAACATCATATAAAAACATTAGGTTCGAGAGTATTTTTTGTTTGTATGAGAACTAATTTTTGCAAGTCTCAAGACTTATGAAACACTCAGTATATCTCACTGAATAGCTATCGAATAGAAAAAAGTATTATTAAATTTGTATGATGCAGCAGATAGTCTACCCATTGTAAAGTAACTTATTGTAGAAGAGCACTTTTTAAACGATTCAACATAAGATTCAGCTACTGTTTTTTGATAAAAATCCTTTTGCCAATACAGATCTTCGACGGGTCATAAAATGAAAGCTCACAATACTTCCAAAATCAAATGATGAAATAGAAAATATTTTCATATAGATTGAGTTCTCTGCTATATTATTCTATAATTCATCCATCGAATTTCGCGGACGATACTATTCAACATTTTACTTGTGAAAAAATAAAAATTATATAAAGACCGTAACTTTGCATAAGTTTCTCAAGAAAATAAATAACACCTTTTTTTCGACATTTTCTTCACGTGACACAAGCAACATGAAATATTAGAAGAGAGACGTCATCATGCAATCAACAGAACGACAAGTTTTTTTCTTGATGAAAGCAAAGAAAGAACGGAATAAAATCGCTCGTACGTATGGTTTAATGGGAAGAAACAATCTATTCGTCGCTCTCCACTCACAGTATGACATACTATATACACAACTATCATAATATCGTACGTCGATTAAAAACAAGTTAGTGATTCTTCTATTACTAGACTACTGTTCTAATATGTCTTCAACAATGCTATCGACGATTCGTGGATTGGATGATGATAATGAGAAGGAACTGAAGTCTTACTTCGATGATATTATGAGCAGAGCACCAGCAGATGATCATGAATATCTAAGCGAGATTATAAATACACTTATTCAGATAAGTTCGAAGTGTATCAATATTATTGACCATCCATTCTTTATTCGTATTCGACATGCATTTATTAATAATCTTAAAAAATCCGCTGAAGATTTTACTCTATCATGTCGCATCGGTGAATTATTCTCTCAACTAACAAATCATACCAACGATAAAAATATCCAACTTATTCGTGAGTTCTTTGCGGATTCGAATCTAACTGAATGTTTAATTGAATCTCTCATTAATCTCTCGCCCACATCCAATGATCATCTAATTGGTAGTATTGAACATATGATTGATGCGTACCATAAATTTCAAGACGATCGTCCAACTATTCAAGATGATCCAATTCTTTCAACATTGATCATGCCTATTGTTAACTTTTTCAAATCGAATGAATATAAAAATTCATTTTTTCAATTATTAGCTAAACAAGATCAATTGACATCTTTTCAAAAACTCATTCTTGTGACATGTCCAACATATATTAAATCCTATTGGGGTCAACTTCAAGAAGAGATTTTCTCTGCAATAGCGCAAGTCACATTGACTCGTTCGTCTGAAATCTTCGAACATTTTTTACCATCGCTTGATAAATGGCAAGAACCAGTCATCTGGTCTATCTATTCACTGATTTTACTTTGTCAAAGATGTGGTAATGAACATCTTCTACCAGCTTACGATTTACAACATAAGAAAATTCTTGATTATGTACTGAATATTGTTCAAGGAAAAGAATTATGGAATGTTGCGAATCAAGACTCAACCTCAGACAAGCGTCAATACCGAGTGAATCAACTTTTTTGCTATAGTACTCTTTACATATATACTACAACATTCTTACCGGAACTTCGTG